GTGAAGGTTTTCAGGGCAAAGTAGGTTCCGCCCAACAATTCACACACATTCTGTTTTAAGGTCATTGATTGCACTCCTCTCAAATGTGGCATCCCTCCCTCTGTTCCTCATAATTTTGTAGATTTTAACTTACTCTAAAAAATTTATATTGAATAGCATTGTATACTCCTTTTTCTTTAAAAAAACAAAACAAAACACTTTTTAAGAGTATGTTTGAGAGTCTTAAAAAAAAAGTTAAAGCCAAAGTTTTCTTTCCTGTGACCTTAATGTTCATATCAGTCTGGTGAGAGCCCAGAGTAGAAATGCAGTTTTCTCTTCCTTCAGAGGAATCCTTGGGTCTCGTCTGTTAAATACCTTTCAGTTGCAATTGCTCGTAATACGGGGCTTTTGATAATTGAACCCCAAAGACTGGCCTGCTTTATGTCACAGTCTGATCTGGAACATATAGTGTAACCTACAGCAGTGACTAGATCATGTCAATCACATACATATTTAAGAATCAAGACATTTGATAGCTGTCAGGTGCTCTCCGAGAGCAAACTGGTATCCTATTCTGTGTGCTTGAAGCAGAGTGAGAACTGCTGAAGTCTGTTGCCCTCTAGAAGCCCATGGTATTGTGGGGTGGCCTCATAGTGAGCCCGAGTGGCAGGGTAGGACTGCCCCGTATGGTTTTCTCGGCTGTAATCTTTAAAGAAGCACACTAGCATGCTTTTCTCCCAGAGAGCTGCTAGGTAGGTTTGAAACACCGACCTTTCTGTTAGCAGCTGAGCACTTTACCGTTGGGCCACTGAGGCTCCTTCTAGAAGTCCATACCCACTGCTGTCACGTTGATTCTGACTCGTAGCAACTCTGTAGGATAAAGAACTGCCTCGTAGGTTTCCAAGACTGCACATCTTTACAGAAGCTGACGGCCACACCTTTCTCCCGTGGAGCGGCTGGCCAGTTTGAGTCGCCGGCTCTTCCCTTAGCAGCCACGCATTTTAACCACTGTACCATCCCAGTACCTGCATTGGAAGTCGATACCAAAAAGGAAAAAAAGAGACCTTACCATCAAGTCAATTCTAACTCATAATGGTCCCACAGGACAGAGTAGAACTGCCAGCAGGGTTTCCAAGGCTGTAAATCTTTACAGAAGCTCATGGTCTCATCTTTCTTCTGTGGAGTGGCTGGTGGGTTCAGACTTCTTTTGGTTAGCAGGTGAATGCTTTAACCACTGCGCTGCCAGAGCTTGAGCAGAGACACCTGCCTCCCGAAACAGTCCTAGGTTCTTGGCTGATCCTTAACCAACCAAGAGAAAGATCTGAGGATAACAAATCGAACCAGCCCTTCCACCCAAAGAACCGGAACCTTGATCGCTCCAAGGACCGGCTACGTCTGAGGCCCCTCCACTGTAGCCGCCAGTTCCCAGAGTCCTGCGGCAAAGCTGCCGGCCACAGAGCCGTTCTTGCCCGCTGCAGTGGCCAGCACCAGGAGCGTGTGAAGGAGGGGCCATCCGGCAGGCCACCATTCCTGAGGCAGGGAGCTCACTGACCAAAGAAACGTGATATATTCTCCACAAACAGGACAGAAGACCAATTTTCAGACACTTTTTCAGTTTACCGAGCAGCTCTTAAGTGCCAGACACTGTGTGAGGTGCCAGGGCTACAGCAGTGAACAAAAAGCCCTGCTGTTATGCAGCCCACACGCTAGCAGGAAGGTCAGTCAACAGACAGATCCTGTGTCAGGTGGCATAGTGCCTAAGGTATTGGACTGCTGACCAGAAGGTTGGTGGTTCAAACCCACCCGCCACTCCTTGGAAGGAAGACTGGGCCATCTGTTTCCATAGAGATACTGCCTCGGAAACCCAAGGAGGGGTCGCTGTGAGTCAAAGTGACTCGACAGCAGTGAGTTTGGTGTTTGTTTTTGTTTTCGTTTTCATGTCAGGTACCTTCAGGTTCTATGGAAAAACAAAGCAGAATGGGGGACCACAAGGGTTGCTGCTTTGTTTCAGTCGTGCGGCTCTCTGGGGCCTGAGCGTTCCAGATAGAGACCACAGCAAGGGCACCAGGCCCTGCACAGCCCGTGCTGAGGGATGCCAAGCTGGGGCCTGAGTAATCTGCTCGCCACCCTTCCCAGAGCGGGCAGACTGTGCAGCTCAGGTTTTACTCTGAAGCAGGGCAGCCGTTGGCAGGTTTGGAGCAGGGGAGTGGTATAGTCTGACTTAAGCTTTAGATGGGTTGGCTGTGATAATTAATAGCACCCACTTTCATGCTCAGTCATGATCTGGTTTGGGCAGTAGATTGTCTGGTGACCCTAATTTTAAAAGTTTCTCTGTAAAATGGGAGAAAGTGCTCTGTGGAAACTAGACCTGAGGTGGCCAAGGGTAGAAATAGGGAGATCGGTGACTGTCATCTCGACAGGAGACAGGACCGCCTCGGACCAGAGCGGTGGCAGTAAAGGTGGTGGGAAGTGCTCAGACATTTTGATGCTGGCGCTGACAGCTTGCTAATGGTTTTGATGTGGGGTGGAAGAGAAGGAGAAGATTGGAGGAGAACCCCGAGCTTTTGACCAGAACCCTGGAAAGGAAGAAGGTACAGTAAAACCTGCAAAAGCCAGAACACGTGTGAGGCAGAGCCTGTCCGAGAAGGAAAGCTCTTATTTTCCGCTAATACAGATAGAAAGGTGGTAAGACTTTACCTTGTCAAAGGCAGAAAACGTGTGAGACCCAGAAAAACCAGCATGGTAGCCCTCACGGTTCACTGTCTATATATTCCTAGATGAATAATGGAATCCATTATTATCCAAAAGTCACTGGGCTTTTTACCTTCAGGAGAACTTGGAAACAAGGACAATTACCTGTCAGGCAGTTCACATTTGAACTAGTTATGAGGGGACTAAGTGACAAATGCATTGTGATGATAGAGCCAAAAAATGTTAGATTTGGGGATACCGGAAAAAAGAATTATGGTTTCAGGTCATTGGGAAGAAACAGTGAATTTTAGTTCACACTGATTTGAGGTAAGTACAGAGGAGCATCAGAAGTGACCATGAGAGGGTTTCTTATAGAATGAACACAGGAAGTGGTAACAGGAAATCATACAGGGATAAACTTACCATTCGGTGTCTGAGACAGTTACCTCATCATCTCTCTACTCCATCTTGATTGCCTATCTGGCAAGCAGTGTGGTAAGTGGCATGGAAATAAAGATTGAAGGGAGAGTGTTTAGTTTACCCTTCAGTGGGGAAATAAATACTCCCCACCCCAAAATGTAATACAAGAATTGTGCCGATGGTCATATGTATCAGAGGCAGCCCACCGCTGTCTGTGCATTTGTCTTACTGTGGTGACTTGCGTGTTGCTGTGAGGCTGCAGGCTGTGCCACCGACACTTCACATACCAGCACGGTCACCCGTGATGGCCAGGTTTCAGCAGAGCTTCCACACTGCTTCCAGAGATAGTCGATGCAGACCTTATGGCCCCCAACAGAGTGTCATTCTATACGAAGCTGGAAGATGAGCCCCAGGTTGAATAGCTGCAGCAGTGGACTCAGACATGCCAGTGGTCATGCGCAGGACAGGGCAGCAGCTCATTCGGTTACACAGAAGGTCGCCATAAGCTGGGGCCAACTCGACGGCAACTAACAATGCTAGAAGACAGTGGGAACGTGGGAGAGTGACCATGTGAGCCTACCTCACATTGCATGTCAGGATGACTTCATGGGTTAGTCAAGTGGACAAGTAGAGAAACTAACGCAATGCTGCACGCTGCTGTCGAATCAGATCCGACTCATAGTGACCCCTCCTTGAGTTTCTGAGGCAGCGTCTCTACGGAACTAGATTGCCCAACCTTCCTTTGGAGGAGTGGCTGGTGGGTTTGAACCACCAGCCTTCTGGTTAGCAATCAAATGCCTTAGGCACCACACCACCAGAGGAGAGAGACTAGTAGATGCAAAAGATTATAAAGGCATGAGAATGTATTGCTGTAGCATAAGCTTTATGCTTAAAATCATTTGGGGACAATCTGTGTGAATGGAATGGGCCTTCCTGAGTGAATGATTAAGCAGTCCTTCTCAGCAGTGTCCTTTTGTTACCGTTATTAGGTGTCATCGAGTCAGCTCTGCCTCACGGTGAGCTACCCTGTGTACCACAGAACAGAACACTGCCCCATCCTGCACTGTCCTCACCAACCTTGCTGGGCTTGAGCCCATCGTTGCAGTCACTGTCAGGCCATCTCGCTGAGGGTCTTCCCCTTTTTCACTAACTCCTACTTTTCCAAACATGATGTCCTTCTCCAGGGACTAATCCCTTCTAACAGCATGACTAAAGGAGGTAAGCTGAACTCTGGCCATTCTCACTTCCAAGGAGCATTCCGGCTGCACTTCCTCTAGGACAGATTTGTTTGTTTTTGTGGAAATCCAAGTGGTGTTTTCAGTATTCTTCACCAACCCTGCAACTCAAAGGCATCAACTCTTGTTCAGTCTTTTTATTCATTGTCCAGCTTCCACATGCTTGGGTTAGGTACACCTTACTCTTCAAAGTGATAGCTTTGCTTCTTAACACTTTAAGAGGTCTTTTGGAGCAATGTTGTTGTTGTTGTCAGGTGCCATCGAGTTGTCTCTGACTCATAGCAACCCTATGCACAGCAGAATGAAACACCACCTAGGCCCAGGCCAGCTCCACAATCCCTGCTGTACTTGACCCATTGCTGCAGCCACTGTGTGAGTCCATCTCATTGAGGGCCTTGGCCTCTTTCATTGACTCTCTGCTTTACCAAGCATGACATCCTTCTCCAGGGAATGGTCCCTTCTGACAACATGACCAAACTAGGTGACGTGAAGGCTGGCCATTCTCGCTTCCAAGGAGCATTCTGGCTGCACTTCCTCCAGGACAGATCTGTTAGTTCTTTTAGCAGTCCATGGTACTCTCAGCATTCTTCTCCAACACAATTCAAAAGCATAACTCTTCTTCAGTCTTCCTTATTCATTGTCCAGCTCTCACATGCATATGAGGAGATTGAAAATACCATGGCTTGTGTCAGGTGCACCTTAGTCCTCAAGGAGACATCCTTGCTCCTCAGCACTTGAAAGAGGTCCTTTGCAGCCAGTTCACCCGGTGCTATACGTCATCTGGTGTCCTGACTGCTGCTTCCATTGATGTCGATTGCAGAACCAAGCAATGTGAAGTCTTTGACAACTTCAATCTTTTCTCCATTTATTGTGATGCTGCTTATAGGTCTGGTCGTGAGGATTTTGTTTTCTTTATATTGAAATGTAATCCATACTGTAGACTGTATTCTTCAATCTTCATCAGTAAGTGCTTCAAATCTTTCTCACTTTCAGCAAGCAAAGTTGTGTTGCCCGTGCAGTATGACCTCTGATTTCTTGACTGTTGTTTTCATGGGTGTTGATTGTGGATCCTAGTAAAATGAAATCCCCAACAACTTCAATCTTTTCTCCATTTATCATGATGTTGCTTAGTGGTCCAGTTGTGAGGATTTTCGTTTCCGTCAGTATTTCTTTAAGGAGAGATGGCATGTGTGCCCTCCTGTGACATGCTCCCCTTCCGTCAGGGTTCTCGGGGTCAGCACTGTTGACGTTTTGGACTCCTGTGCTGCTAGCGTCCTGCTCCTTTACAGCTGTGGGGCTGCCTGTGCACGGAGCCAGGATGGTCAGCAGCATCCCTGGCCTCTACCTACTCGATGCCAGTAGCACCCCCAGATGTGATAACCAGAATGTCTCCAGATGCTGCCGTTTACATCCTTGGGGAGGAGGGAGACTGCTCCTGGTTGACAACCACTGACTTACGTACATCAAATGTAATAGTTTGGCCAGCTGTCCCCCTGTAATTTCTCTTGCATCCATGCCTTTCAGCGCATTTCTGGCACCGCATACACACGTTTATCATACTAGCTTTTTTTTGTTTTGTTTTTCTTCACTGCCATCGAGTTGGTTTCGACTCATAGCGATCCCTCCTTGGGTTTGCAAGGCGGTATCACTATGGAAGTAGATTGCCCAGCCTTCCTTCCAAGGAGTGGCTGGTGGGTTTGAACCGCCAGCCTTCTGGTTAGCAGTCAAGTGCCTTAGGCACTACACCATCAGAGCTCCTTATATATTTTATTAAGTATATTTTAGAGTCCCTGGGTGGTTGAGTCCCTGATAACCGAAAGGTTGATGGTTCAGTTCCACCCGGAGACCCCTTGGAAGAGAGGCCTGGCAGTCTACTTCCGAAAGATCACAGCCAGTGAAACCCCTGAGGAGCACGGATCTACTCTGAAATACCTGGGGTCACCATGGGTCGGAATCAACCTGGCAGTGTCTGGTGGTTGGTTAAGTGTATTTTATGTCTGATTACGCCTTCACCGTAGGAAGATGAGTCATCAGATAGTTTGCCTGTCTTACCACTCTGCTCACGTATACAGTGGGGTCCCCTTCTCAACCCAATAATTGCAAACTACTTCTACTGGTACCCAGTGCCCTCCACCACCCGACCCCAGCCTTCATTATTCTGCTTATATTCTCTTCTTCAACCAAAGTGAACTGTCGAATTTGGGAGTCCCCACATGCCCCTACCCTCATGTTTCCTCCTCCATTTGCTCTTTGTTTCTGTTGGTCCCTGTAGCTGCAAAGCCCAGGTGCCTGTCGTTCTCAATTACATTATTAAACCTTGAAGGCTGGACTTCATGGCCACCTTCTCAGTGAAGCCTTTACTTCCTCTCCTCTCTTCTTTGCTCCCAATCATCTACAACAGCATTTATTTGTGTCTTAGTATCTAGACTTGTGTACAAATAAGAGATGTGCCTTTCTTCTTTGTGTTCCTGGTTCTTCCAAACACCTAGTCTTAGACGAAAGAAACACTATTGAAATGATTGTAAATAATTAGATGCAAGATTGTCACTTCCTATGAAACTGTCTTGCGTTGATGCTGGTGTCTAAGAATATTAACACAGTTAAAGATACATTCCTGAGATTGTCAATATCGCTTTTGTAGAACAGTAGAGATTTTTAACATTTGATTGTGTTGTTTGCTTATTTTCTTTCTAGCCTGCCTATCAGAATCTGAGACAACGTGTTGACAACTTTGTGGCAAACCACTTAGCAACTCACACGTGGAGTCCCCATCTCAATAAGAACCAACTAAGAAACAACATTCGACAGCAAGTCCTCAAGTAAGTCTGAGTCTGAGGCACACTTTCAAATTTCATGGCCTGCTTTGCCTGAAAGCGGAGCCATTACCCAGAAGGCTGCTCACTAAGGATGGGGCAGTGTTCCAGGTTGGTGTGGCGGCTTCCTGTGAGCAGTCTGAGTTTAGAGTGTGCTCTACTTACATCCCACCCCTAAACTGTAAGATTATTCCTGGGGGAAATTTTCTTTGAAAATACTTGAAGGGAATAAGAAAGTGACTTAAAAAAAAAAAAAAACACAAACAACCACCTAGATATATACTATTCACAGATGATAAAGACAATAATAGGAGCTCTGGTGGGGTAGTGCCTAAGGCACTTAACTGGTAACCAGAAGGCTGGCGGTTCAAACCCACCAGCCACTCCTCAGAAGGAAGGTTGGGCAATCTACTTCCGTAGTGATGCTCCTCGGAAACCCAAGGAGGGGTCGCTATGAGTCAGATCTACTCGAAGGCAGTGTGTTTGTTTTTTTTAAAGGCAACGATATCCTATATAGTTATTTAATAACTCTTTTCTTAAACCTAAAAGAACAGGCTTTATTATTTCTATTTTACAAATAAGGATATCAAACTTCAGTGAAAGAAAAATATTTTCCCTTGATTTGAGTCTAAGTTTTCTGTGTTCTCATACAGGTTTTATATATGTGTTTGTTTTCATTTTACTGAGTTTTTACTATTTAGTTATGATGTAGCCAAAATAAAAATGTGTTTGGACCTATCAGAGCCATTTTGGGAGAATGGGAGATAAAAAGAGCTGGGTTGTTTAGAGAAGTCTGAATCACCTCAACAGCAAATGGTTTTGGGTAGAAAACAAAAAAATTATATTTATTCCACAAAAGCAGATTTAAACGTGTATGCTTGATCTTGATTGTAAATGTTTGCTAAGACGAGAAGACTTGGACCTTCTGTCCCTGCCTTGCCCCCTAATAAGGGTGACTGAGTTATTTCAAAAATGCCTTATGTTCCTGCCTTGACAAATATTTACCTTCAGGAACATCTTTCCAAATTATACAGCGCTTTTAAACAGTTAAACAAATCTTATTTTACCTGCCACCCCTGAATTCCCTCTTGTTCCCCAGGGACCTTGCATGCATACCTAGTGTGCCTCTCCCTTGATAGTTTTCACCCACAGGAAGCCCCACAAGTTTCACCCCACACACTGGCTAAAAGGCTGACCCTCCTAGCCACAGGTCATACAAAACACCAGGAGCCCAGGGGCCCAGACTTGTCTCCTGGTGAATTAGCAGGAAGGGAGATTTCACAGTGGCTTGGTTGTCTGCATTGTAAAGGATGTTTGGAGAACTGGAGAAGAGTCCAGACCAGAACCGAAGATGCCGTCAGAGGGCTCTGTCCTAATGTCTGTAGGGAAGAAAAGCAGTTTCTGGAAAAGGGGGACAGAAGAGATCTGTGATGACAGGCTTGGAGGGTTCCTCATCTGCCCCGGCCTTCGCGAGAACAGCAGCCAGGCGAGCTCGGGTTGGAGAAGGGGGAGCCGGCTGGGGGGAGTCAGGCTCCGCTGCCCACCAAGTGCTCTCACTCTGCAGTGTCGATCGCTGCCTCCTCTCCCATTGGACTGCGTTGCTTAAAGCATGTGTTAGGGGGGTCCTACATTCTTTTCTTCATATTTCATAGACTAAAATGGAAGACATACCTCCTGGCATTGCATTTACTCCCTCAGCACACGCTGTCTCTAAGGGAAATGGTTGTTTATTCTGTTTTTTTACTTCAGGAAACTGAACTAAACGTGGTGGTGGTGTGAGGTGCCATCACCTAACACTGATTTTCAGATCATTGTGACCCCACGTGACAGAGAACTGCCCCATAGAGTGTTCTAGGCTGTGATCTCTTCTCTGTAGAGCCAGCTTACCAGGTCCCTCTCCCGCAGAGCTGCTGGGTGGGTTTGAACGGCCAGCCTTTTAGTTAGCAGCCAGGTGCTTAACCTGTGCACCCCCTGGGCTCCTTAAACCAGTAAGTGGTTACAGTTCTAGGTGCACAAGTATGAAACGGGATTATTGCAAAATTGTGTTTGCAGAGGGGCTGCTGTGTGCACCAGTGAGGGTCGTTGTCCCTGTGTCCAGTGATGTTTAAAACCAGGAAGAGCAGCTGCCGGCCCCTCTCACACCATTCAGACATTGCTCTTCCTAGACATCTGTAAATCTTCTTGTAACTCTGGTTTTTTTTTTTGACATGAACTATATTCTTTTTAAGATTTCACTGATAAAGTTTAGTGTTATTCATAATAACATTTTAAAGCCTCCCCAAAGAAAGAAACGAGTTGGGTTTAAACTAATGATTTACAGGTGGAGGTCATCAAGTCAGTTCTAGCTCCTTGCCCCTGAAACACAATTTCAAACAGTTTGAAAAATACTAAACTGACCCTCTTAGGTTAGACTATATGAAATTGCCATTTTTCTAGGCCAAAAGTGGTGTAATACCTACAATTTCATGTAGTTCAAGTAATAGACAATCTGCTGAGTCAGTGGGAGGGAGAATCTTCCTCTCTTACGCCTTCAGTTGGGCGACGGTGGGAAAATGCTAGGTAGCCCTGAAGAGTGATCTGAACTGAACAGAACGTAAAATGAAGACGAGGAGGTGGCTTTAACTAGAACAATGCCAGCTAGCACCCCACCTCCAGGCACTGAGCCGGCTAAGAGTGGTGTGGTCATTAGCACAGCCCCCATTTCATTTAAGATCAGAACTGACCTCTGTGTGAGAGAAGATTAAAGCAGCAGTGTTTTCCTGTGCTTGTTTACAGGAAGATGAGCCAAAAGATAAGCAAACAGAGGACAAGAGGATACCTTAGGGGAAGGGTTCTATTTCTTTTGTTCTCAGTGTCTTTGTACTTGTCCTTTAGATCAAAACATTTTAAAGATTGTTTTTCCTGGTTTCTTTTCCACCTGCTACAATTAAAGGACATCTCTAAGATGTAGCGATGTCTGCAGGATTTGCTTTTTTTTTTTTATCTTAGAACTTTTAAAAGCAGGTAACCTACTTTGGGGCGAATTGGCTCATTTTTCTCTGTGGCCCATATAAGTAGGATTATAATATCACAGGATTGCAGGGTGCCTCAGGAGAGGAAAATCGAGTGCCGACCCCACTCCAGACAGACCTGCGCTCAAAAATAGCATTGTGAGGTGTTAGGGTAGGCCACCTCGCCCGCTCCATGGAGGGAGACCGAGGCCTTCCACTCGCCCTGCCAGCCCTGTCCGGGACGGCTCGACTGCTCACGTTCTCTATTGGAAGAACCAAGGTTTACGTGTATGTCTTAAAATAAATGTACAGCATCGTATCTTGCTCAGGCGCTTTTGATTTCTGCAGATTTCAGACACCACTGGCCTCTTTGCTTCTCTGCCCCTTGTCTGGGCTGTTTACCTGGAGCCCCTTTGCTCCCTTCCCTTCTAGGATAGCTTGATCCAGCCCATTGCCTCCTCTGGGAAGCAAATTTATGATCCAAGTTACCTGACTTCGTAATTCCTTGCTCCTCTCTTTTCCTGTAGTACATGGTTCAGACTCGTGGCTGTTGCCTTGTATTTGATGTGCTTGCGTCTACTTCCCCCACCAGAGCAGGGACCAGGGCAGGTTGGTAGCTGCCCTCATGGCCAGCACGCTGCCTCTGTGTCCTCACATAATTGGTGAATGAATCAGTCGTCCAGTTTCATAGCAAGGAGACAATAAAAGGCACACCAGGCGTCTTAACGTTTCATTTTGTTTGCTGCAAGCTTGTCGGTGTTTCTCCAGTGTGATGAAATTACATTGTGGGTTCTTCAGTTTCCCTGCAGACTCTGGTGCTCATAAAAGGCTTCAGTGTTTGTAAAGAAAAGTTGCAGAGGCCGCAGTTGCATTTTATACCAGGAACTCGGCCTTCGGGACAGTTCGTTCCTGCATGCCAGAGGCAGGGCAGGGGTGAGACAGCGTCCCCTGTGTTCCTGGGCACTCAGTGGTGTGCTGTGTCTATTTCCAAGGGTGTTTTAGGTTCTGTTTGTTTGTTTTACTTTGTGTTTTTCAGTATTTCCCAGTGTCACAGTGGTGGAAAGCTTATAGACTTTTTTGTAGTGGGGTCTGTCTAAATGCCTCTACAGCAGAAAACTTATTTCCTGTTGCTTATTCTGAACATCAGGATGAATGCCTCAGGCAGTTTAAAATTGAACATATATATGAGTCGGGGCCGACTCGAGGGCAAACAACAAACAACAACAACATACATATATACACTAGTGATGGCTGTACGTTTAAAGTATTTAACGTGAACAATATAGTTTCCCTCCCATAAATTATCCCACGTTTCAGGTCAGGAATGCTGGAGTCTGGCATCGACCGAATCATTTCTCAGGTTGTGGATCCAAAGATCAACCACACATTCAGACCTCAGGTGGAGAAAGCCGTGCATGAGTTTTTGGCCACGTTAAATCACAAAGAGGAAGCAAGTGCCAGCACAGTGCCCGACGACGAGAAGCCGGACTCCTCCATCCTCACACAAGGTGCTGTGCTTTTACGCTTGGTCAGTGCCATTGCTTTTCTTTGAACTGAGTATCAAGTTAGGGGTGTTTGGTTCCTTGAACGTTTCTTTACTGGGCTGTCTAGTGAATTATATTTACTCTAAATATCACGCAGATTCTAAACATCTTATTTTATATTAATACAGATAGTAAGCATTTTAGTGATGTGTTGTGTGTGTCTTGTGCCTATGTTTGTGTTTTAATAGAGGGACTAATTAAAATCATTAGAGACTGCATCCTCTTTCAGGGTACAAAAATAATGCTGTAAGATTTGCATAGTGCCATCCTAAGGTGGGAGCTCTGGTGGCCTCTTGTATTTGACTGCTAACCAAAAGGCTGGCGGTTCAAACCCACGAGCCACTCCTCGGAAGGAAGATTGGGCAGTCTACTTCCGTAGAGATACCACCTTTGAAACCCAAGGAGGGGTCGTTATAAGTTGCGATTGACTCGGTGACAGTGAGTTTGATTTTTTTGGTTTTTCCTAAGGTCGGAGCTCTGGTGGCTCTGTGATTAACACCTTGGGCTTCTAAGGTTGGAGATTTGAACCCACCAGCTACTCTGTGGGAGAAAAATAAGGCAGTCTGCTTCCTTAAAGATTTGCAGCTTTGGAAACCCTGTGGGGCAGTTCTCTGTCCTGTAGGGTCACTATGAGTCAGAAGTGACTCAGTGGCAGTGGGTTTTTGTTTTTTCCTAAGACACTGTTTAGAGACATAGAAAATTTAGAGTCTATTATGTACTGGCACTTGTACCTGAAAGCCTAAAGAAATATGAATGATTTACAGAGCGTGTGCATCACATAAAGATGATAGTGACATGTAACATTAATTTAGGTGTCTGCCTTCTCCGTAAATGTATTCTGAAACTTGTCTTTCCCTTGAAGGTGTGCCTGCTCCTGGGCCTAGTGCTAATGTAGCCAATGATGCCATGTCGATCTTGGAAACCATAACTTCTCTTAACCAAGAAGCTAACGCTGCCAGGGCCTCAACAGAAACGTCAAATGTCAAGGCCAATGAGAGAGTATCCAAAAAATTCCCACCTCAACCAAGCACTGACACTAACGCCGAAAAAGAGAGAACTTCTGAGGACACAGCAGATAGAGACAGATCTCCCCCTGACTCTGTAGGGGAAGCACTGGAAGCAGCCCCTAAGTCAGAAGAAGCCGGTGACCTCCCAGGTCCAGCTGAGGAAATTAAAAATCACACAAAAGAGAGTAATAGCTTAATTCTCGTCAGTAAGGAAGTTCAGCAGGAAAACAGTGACCAAAAAAATAAACCAACAGACAAAGAAAAGAAACCTGATAGCAATGAAAAAGGAGAAAGAAAGAAAGAAAAGAAGGAAAAGACTGAGAAGAAGTTTGATCACTCAAAAAGGAGTGAAGAGATACAAAAACTGAAAGACGAAAGACAAGCAAAGGAAAAAGATGCAGAGAGTTCAAAGCTTCCTGTGGAAAAGAACAGTAATAAAACCAAGATGGCTGAAGGGACGAAAGAAGGTATGTAAAACCCTGCCAAAGAGCTACACTGGTTTAGAGACCAAAGATATCTGTCTGAGGGGATAGCTGGTATTTGCCTGTCTTCAAATTTTAATAAGTTTATTTAATAATTATTTTAAAACTGAAAACTTATATCCTCTTCGCTTAAAAACAAATTACATTTACATATTTTTCTGCGTTAATGTAGTTCACCAAGTGAATGAACTGAGAAACTCTAAACTTTATCATTTAAGGCTTACAACTTATTCCCCTGCATTATTCCTTGCAGCATGGTCCATAGTTGTACTGTAAAACCTGCGAAAGGCAGAACCTATGTGAGGCAGAACCTGTCAGAGAAGGAAAATGCGAGTGTGTTCCACTGATAGAGAGCAATAGAAAAGGAGTAAGACTGCACCGTCAAAGGCAGAAAGCGTGCAAGATCCGGGGAACAGTGCAGAACCGTCAGGGTCCAGCAGCCACAGGTGTCACTGTGTGCCCTGTGCTTTAAAGTGTTGCAGAGGAAATATTGCACTTCCTCAAAATTTGTTTGTGTTTATATCACTTACACCTTAAATTAATAGTTTAGCTGTATTTGCAGGATGCTAATATACTGAGCTCTGGTAGCATAGCGCCTAAGGCACTTGACCGCTAACCAAAAGGCTGGCGGTTCAAACCCATCAGCCACTCCTCAGAAGGAAGATGGGGCAATCTACTTGTGTAGTGATACTGCCTGGGAAACCCAAGGAGGGGTCGCTATGAGTCGAGTCCGACTCAACGACACATAACAACAACAACAACATACTGATAGAATTTTCTGGAACCAGCTCTGTATTATTTGATACTCATTGATAAGAGATTTTTCATTTCTAAAGTTGAGTTTCTCTGACATGTATTTAAAGCAGAGCATTTTAAATGTAACTCAGGAGCTGGGTTCTAAGTGTGTTCTGGTAACAAGCTGGTTAATTTTGTTTTTGGTTTTGTTCCTCAAGATTGTTCTCTGGTAGATTCTGATGTGGATGGACTTACTGACATCACAGTTAGCTCTGTCCATACCAGTGACCTTTCATCTTTTGAAGAAGACACAGAGGAGGAAGTTGTAATGTCTGATAGCACGGAAGAAGGAGAGATTACATCAGATGGTAAAGCATTTTAATTAATAATGCCTCTCAAGCTTCCCGTGGAGTGTTATTTGCATTTGCAGGTTGCTCTGTCTTGAAAAACACTGGGTATAGTGGCAGAGAATGAGAATGGGACTTGGTAGTGGTCAGATCTGTTTCTACGTCCTAACTCCAAGGTTTCTCAGAGCAAACTTACAATCTCCATCATCTAACTCCACCCCCTCTTGTTGTTATATTGTTCTGTGTTAATTGAGCCCATTCTGACTCCTAGCAACTCTGTGTACAGCAGAAAGAACCACTGCTCAGTCTGACACTGTCCTCCCAGGCGTTGTACCTTTGAGCCCATCGTCACAGCCACTGTGTCAGTACCTCTCATTGAGCGTCTCCTCTCTTTTTCTGACCCTCTTTACAAAACATGATGTCCTTCTCCAGAAGTTCGACCCGCCTGATAACATGACCAAAGTACATGACTTGAAATCTTGACATCATTCCTTCTAAGGAGCCTTCTGCCTGCTTAGAACAAAAAGATTGTGTTCATTCTTCCGGCAGTCCATGATGTATTCAATAGTCTCTGCCAGTACCATAATGAAAAGGCATCAGTTCTTCTCTGATCTTCCTTATTTATCATCCTCTTTTTGCATGTGTATGTGATGATTGAAAATACCGTAGCTTGGATCAGGTGCACCTCAGTCTTCAAAGTGACATCTTGGCTCTTTAACACCTTAAGGAGATCTTTTGCAGCAGATTAGCTCGATGAAATACATTATTTGATTTATTGACTGCTGCTTTCATGGATGTTGACTGCGGATCCAAGTAAAATGAAATCCTTGGAACTTCCGTCTATTCTTTTAATCATGATGCTGTTTATTGGTCCAGTTGTGAGGATTTTTATTTTCTTTATGTTGAGCTGTAATCCACACTGGAGGCTGTAGTCAATGAATGCTTCAAGTCCTCTTCAGCAAACAAGGTTGTGTCAACTGCATGCGTTTCATAGGTTGTTAATGAGTCTTTCTCCAATCCTAATGCCATCTTCTTCATACACTCCAGCTTCTCAGATTATTTGCTCCGAATACAGATAGAATAAGTCTGGTGGAAGGATACAACCCTGATGCACAGCTTTCCTGCTTCCTGATTTTTAAACCACACAATATCCCCTTGTACTCTTTAAATGACATGTTCCGTATGACTGCAATTAAGTGTTCTGGAATTCCTGTTCTTCACAATGTTATCTGTAATTTGTTATGCTCCACATAGGCACGTGCCTTTGTGTAGTCAAGAAACGTAGGCAAACATCTTTCTGGTATTGTCTGCTTTCAGCCAAGATCCATGTGACATTGGCAACAATAGCCTTCCTTCCACATCCTCCTCTGAATTGCCTTGGATTTTGACAATTCCCCGTCAGTGTTCTGCTGCAGCCATTCTTAATCATCCTCAGCAGAACTGTACTTGCATGTTACATCATGATGTTGTTTGGTAATTTCTGCTTTTAGATTTCACGGCTTGTGCCAGTTATTGCCTCCAGGGCCGTGTGCGTTTGTTGAAACATTTCAGCTGGTATTCTGTCAGTCCCTGGAGCCTTGTTTTTTGCCAGTGCCCTCCATGCAGCTTGAACTTCTTCCTTCCACAGATCGGTTCTTGATCATAATGCTACCTCCTGAAATGTTACAGCATCAACAAGTTCTTTTTGGTATAGTGACTCTGTATTCTTTCCATTTTCTTTTGATGCTTCCTGCATCACTCAATATTTTGCCCTTAGAATTCTTCAACTTGCAACTCAAGGCTTGAATTGTTTTCTTCAGTTCTTTCAGTTTGAGAAATTCTGAGTGTGTTCCTCCCTTTGGGTTTTCCAACTCCAGGTCTTTGCACATTCCATTATAATACTTTATTTTGTCTTCTCAAGCCATTGTTTGAAATGTTCTGTTCAGCTGTTTTAGTTCATCATTTCTTCCATTAGTTACTCTCTGTTCTAGAGCAAGTTTCAGAGTCTCTTCTGACATCATTTTGGTCTTTTCACATCTTTTCAATGACTTTTTGCTTTCTTCATGTATTATATTATTTATATCATCTCACAGCTCGTCTGGCCTTCAGTCATTGGTGTTCATTGCATCAAATCTGTTCTTCAGATGGTCTCTAAATTCAGGTGGGATATAATCAAGCTTGTACTTTGGTATTTGTGAACTAGTTTTAATTAAAGTGCTTGACCACTAACCAGAAGTCGGCAGTTCAAACCCACCAGCTGCTCTGTGGGAGAAAGATGAGGCAGTCTGCATCTATAAAACATAGGAAAACCTGTGGGACATTTCTACTGTGTCCTATAGTCTGATAGGGTCACTGTCAATCAGAATCAACTCAACAGCAACAGGTTTGGTCTGGGTTTGGTTCTGAAGTAGTAGGAATGAAAGCTGTGTTCACATTGTGTCCTCCTTTACCTCTTGCTGTATCCCTGGGGAAAAAGTCCACCTTCCTGGTGCAGAGGGCTCTGAGTGTCTGCTTGGCATAGGGCCACTTCTTGATTTCTGCTTCTTCCCTAAATGAGCAATTAACGGTGGGTATTAAAGTCCTAATATCTTTATAAATAGGCTCCAAGTGAGCTTCTTCATCTTAACCATGGTAAAGCATTCATATCAAATCCACCAACATACAGACAATAATTTAGTTTGTCAAGAGAACATAAATAACTGTAATACGTAATTTTTCTTTGTTTTCTCCTTTGTGTTTAAGAAACTGATAGTATCCTTTACAAATGTCAGTTTCTGAATTTTCACGTTTATGGTTACCCCACAATCGGAAAGTGTGAAACCTTTGATAAGCTGAAATGGCCGAAAGCAAAGAAGTAACTACCATTAATTTATGTGGGAAAAGGTTTTCAGTGTTCCCAGACCTGAAAATTAACCAATAGATCATGCCCAACATGTAAAGCCTGTAATAACACTAACACATAGTGTTCACAGATGCCACTCAAAACTGTGGCGGCTTGATGCCTCTGAGTGTCGTTCCCGAGGCAGGGGCTTGATGACACCACTCTCGCTGCTCAGGGTGCGTGCACCCTCTTTAACGGCTCGCTGCTAAGCAAATGCTGAATGCTGGTTTTGTAAAAGAGAAAATCTTCTTTGGGTTTCTGTCAGTTATCGCAAACAGATCCTGATATAAGTCTTTCGTAAGAGAGAAGTGGCCTAAAGCAAACTTGCAGAAAGCAGAGGGTACCTGCGCTGCGTTTTCCCCAGTGGGGCCTGGAGTACGGTTGACCCACGCTGATACTGCATTTGATGTTTATACAGCATCATACTGATTTTACTACTAATTTACAAAAGCACTCCTCTTTCTATTGACTTTCTTCCAGATGAAGAGAAGAGCAAGCAGAATAAAACAAAAATTCAGACTAGTGATCCCAGTGAAGGAAAAGTGAAAAACGTACGACACGCTTATGTACACAAACCCTACCTTTACTCCAAGTACTACAGTGACTCTGATGACGAACTCACTGTGGAACAGCGGCGACAGTCAATTGTAAGTCAGGCTTGGTCTGTTGTTTACTCGGCTTACAAAATCAGATTGACACACGTGAATAGTCCGTGTAAGGTGCAGAGTAGCTTACAAAAGTTACATCCCATCTCTTCCTTCAGGAATCTTGTCATTTAATTAGGGGGACAGAACATGAACGTGCGGCTGAGGTATGTGTCTCCTTGTCATTTATAGTGAAAAACCTAAATGTTTCACCTAAATGGAAGTAGTTGGATCAAGTTATGCAAAGAGAAATGATGGTGTACAGCTGTTAACATAGTCCTTTTTTTTTTCTTATTGTGATTCAGTTGAAGATTTACAGAGCAGATTCACTTTCCATACAACAGTTCACATACACTTTGTCTCATGACATTGACCACAGTTTACCACAATCCAACAGCTCCCCTCCAACTTCTTCCCCATAGTTACCTCTTCCCAGTGTCCATCCGTCCATATACTCCTGCCCCCTGAGCTGTCTCCCTGTGCATAAGCAGCCCTTCTTTCTCCCATGGTTGTTCTCTCCAAGGAATGTATCTACTTGAGATAAATGTTCAACTCATCTGCCTGTCTTTTGTTTGGCTGGAAACTATGCGTATGCATTCAATTCCAGACCTGAAGGCAGTTAGGGGCCATAGTATGAGTGGCTCCCCAGGCTCTATTGGACCAGCAAACCTGCCCCCCCCCTTTTTTTTTCTCCAAATGATTTTGAGTTTTGTTCCACATTGTCCTCCTCTATCAAGGATCTCCTACATAGATCCCCTTCCAAGTGGATGACAGTGGTAGCCGGGCACCATCTAGTTCTTCTGGTCTCATAGTCGTATAGGCTGCAGATCGGATGGTGTACCAGTCACTAGGACTAACTGTTTCCATGAATTTTGGTTTTCTTCATTCTTTGTTGTTGTGTAGGAGAGACCCATCATTGCATCTAGATGGCAGCTTGCTAGCTTTTAAGATCCCAGTCTCCACTCGCCAAAGTAGGAGGTGGAATAATGTTTTGTATAGTATGTTATGCCAATTGAGCTTGATGTTCCCTGCGACTATGGTCCCAAGCCCACAGGTTCAACTCCTCGGTCCCTCTTGGTAGCTGGCTGTGACCAAGCAATGTCCACAACCTTGCCTCTTGTCACCTCTACTATGCACCTGGGAATTCTGTTCATTCACATAAACTTATAGGACCATTGTTTGCCAACCCTATACATGTTCTTGGATACACTCCCCATTTCACAGACATACCTAATAGTTCAGCCTGTCCACGCATCTATCCACCCATATACCCATGTTTGTCTTCACTGACAATGCAGTACTGTATGTGCAAAAGGGTTCCTATGTGTTGTCTGTACCTCCCATGTACCGCTCTGTGTCTTTCTCTTCCTCAATGCCACCATATTGGTCAATCACATTTGGTACATTGCCCTTGTCTTCACCCAAATCAATACTTACCTCTATCTATCTAACAGTGTGTTAACATAGTCTTAACAGGGGAACTGCGGTCTACATTATAAATATTTGAAAATACTTGTAAGATGTGCCATTCAATTGAGTTTTTTAGAGGAAAAAAAGCAAAGAGATGCTGCCTAATCTATATATGTCAGCTCAGCAATAAGATGGCGCCCAATTTCAGAAACGTTAAAATATGAAAAGTTGTGTGTGTTACAATGAAGAAATATTGTCACATAGAAAAAGATTTGAGGAAAATACACCAGAATGCTAGTAGTGGTTCCATTCCAGCATGCTTGTTAGGTTTATTTTTCTTTTATCGTATTTTGTATCTGCTACCGTTTGTATGATGAACATCTATTTTATGATGGTTGGGAGGGTAAGGTGCTTTTTTCTTTGATGTACAAGCTGTCACGTGGGAGTAAAGGGTGATTGCTAAGTTAATGCCATAAGGTCCAGTAAGAACTCCACTGCTACGGTCTCGTAGCCATCATTCCACAAATGAGAGTGTGTTACAGATGGGCCCTACAAGAGCCCACAGCAACCCTGGGAAGAGACAAGGTGACATGGTAGCCCCCTTCCTGGAGCTAACAGGCTGGTGGTGAGGGAGGACTTCCCCGAGGAGACTGAAGTTGAAATGGATATTGGCTGGTGGTGATTTTGGTTAGAGCAAGAAGAAGTTCTGGAAGGGCAGAGAAGCACGCAGAGAGGCCATGTTAAGCAGCCCACTGATTCAGCAAGAGTTTCGTGCTAAAAGCCAGAAAGTGCCAGGAGAAATGTTTGCTCTTCCACAGAAGTACGATGAAAAGCACTGGATAAAAATCAGCCACTTGTGTGAATCCGTACCATGTGTATATTATTAAACATAAGGAGTATCTGAGTCAGGGTCTTGGTCATCGGTGTGGGGAGTCGGTGCCTCTCAGTCGGCCTGGTAGAGAGGGAAGCAGTGTAGTCTCCCTGTGCCTCTGTGCTGTGCTGGACGAGGGGGCAGCCTGGGTAGCCGATAACAGGACACGGTTTATGAGGCCTCAGATGAGGGCTTCTTGTCATCATTCTTCACTCCATAAATAAAACCTCAGCGGAAAGCATGCTTTGTTTCTCTGTCTTCATCTCATGCATATTTCTTACAAAGGTTACTTGGTCAGAGTTATACCTATACTTAGGGTTTGGGGCACTTTGGGGCTTTAAGCTCTGACTGGAGAGGGTAGTGGAATTACCCCCTGACTGCATTGTCCCTGGCTTAGAATGTTGCTGTCAAGTCAGTGCCAACTCATAGCGACCCTGTGTGTCAGAGTAGAACTTGGCTGTAGAGTTTTCTAGACTTTAATCTTCACAGGAGCAGATCACCAGATCTTTTATCTGCGGAATTGCTGGGTGGGTTCCAACAGCCAACCTTTTGGTTAGCAGGCAGGCACTGAACCATTGTACCACCAGGACTCCTCAGCTTTGAAACACAACAGCAGAAATTTCAGGTCCAGAACCTGGATCCCGAGAGTATAACCATCATGGGAGATTTGTTTGGGGTCTAGCCTGTCACTTGAATCTGCATTTTAACTATTTTCTTTAAGAATAATTGAAAAGTTGTGAAGACCTGCTTATATACCCTTAAGACCTGTCTTGGTTCTCTAGTGCTGTTATAACAGAAATACCACAAGTGGATGGCTTTAACTAACAGTGCCAGCTCTAGGGGCTGGGTGAAGGCCCCTCGACCTTAGACTTCAGCTCTGCCTCTTAGTCCGAGCCCCCTGGACCTAGCAGCATCCCCTAACTCAAACAGCTACTGGCTGCTGAGGCTGAGGAACCCAAGGTCTGCTGGTGAAATGGCATAAGTCCCAAGGTCAGCAGGCAACATGAAAGGCCAGTAGTTGAAATCCACGAACGATCCCAAGATCAGCAGGCCACTGAGATGAAAGACCCAGCCAAATGCAGGGTCCAGATGTGCCAAACGTACTGGAAGTGGCCATACCCTGAAGGCAACTACTTAGCTGCACACAGCAGATGATGCCGCAGAGGTGATTCCAGTCTCATCACGGGGAGTAACTGCATCCCGCTGCCCAGGCACTCAGAACCACGGCCCAGCCAGGTTTATACACAGCCCTGACTAGCACAAGGCCCCTAGTTTTCATGGCTGTTCTTTTGACTGAAGCAGCCAGTTTATCAAACCACCCTTTCCCAAAAAGTTACATACCTTTTCCATTCTCCAAACTAGAGTTGTGGAAAATTTTCACATCTGATTCTTATTCTAGTAGGTTCCAAATTCTTAAAATTAAAAAAAAAAAAAAGGTATATAGTGAAAAATATATGTGGTTTTGTGTGTCAGGTATTAACGCATTTTTGCTGAGTCCATTTATTGGTGAAAACATCTGAAAGGCAAACTAAAACTTTCCTTTTTCTTACAAAAATCTCCCAGCATATTTTTTTCCCACAGTGTTTTCTTTTGCCTGGTCATCTGTCAGGATAATTGTAAGTACTTTATTTTGTGCTTTTAGGCTAAAGAAAAAGAAGAGAGGCTTTTAAGAAGGCAAATTAATAGAGAGAAACTTGAAGAAAAGCGAAAACAAAAAGCAGAAAAGACAAAATCTTCAAAAGCCAAGAGTCAAGGTAGAGAAGATGCTAAGCTTTAGATCGTGTATTGTGTTGTTTTCTAGGTACTCATGTGCCTTATGCAATAGGATTGTAAAGAAGCATCTTTTTTCAAATGTGGAAGATGTCCTTATTTTTCATTCTGTCATGGTTAATCTTGTTGTTTTTTTTTTTTGTTATATTGCTGTATCTAAATTAAACATTCTGTCAGGTGCCAACTCACTCAACTCACATGTTAACAGTTTATTTTCCAGAGATTATAAAATGAACTGTCATTGGAATATGAATTATTAACATTTAAATAATCAAGGCTGGCTCATAATATGAATAGAATTGATTTATGCTTTACATTAAATAGCACTAAGCATTTACCTGAAATACTGCTTTGAGCAAAACTGAACTCCCTTTGGGCACTGATCCCTTGCTCCTGAATGTGTGTGTGTGTGTTTGTGTAAAATACTTGCCTTTTTAACTTTGTATAGCATGATCATTTGGAAAAAATTAAGACTTCTCTAGTTAAAGTATTTTTCATTCCAGCACAATCTAAGGATACTAACTAAAGCGATGTCTTGTTTTATTACCATGATGAGAAAATTTTAATGGAAAATCAGTATTACACTGTTTGTAAGACTCCGTACTGAAACATACTTTATTGTCTGCTTTTTCCTAGGCAAAGGTAGTGTGGACTTAGAGGAATCATCCACCAAGAGCTTGGAGCCCAAAGCCCCCAGAATTAAAGAAGTCCTTAAAGAACGGAAAGTTTTAGAGAAAAAAGTAGCATTAAGCAAGAAAAGAAAAAAAGATTCCAGGTACATATTTTATCCGGCCACGTTCCCATTGTAATGTTCTCCTAGCATGCTCAGGTACCAGGGGCATTGAAAATGACAGAATAATGAATGTCCATACCTTTAACATGTCTGTTACTTCCTATTTAAGAAAAACCTTAGGGTCTCATTTGTAATATTATAATGTGTTATCATTCCAAAGTAGTGGCTCTTAATCTATTTTGGATCTTAGACCTCATTAGTGATATGCTGGAATCTTTGGTCCCTGTTCTGGTTACCTAGAGCTACTCTGAAAGGAATAGACCACGAATGGGATGGCTTGAAGAAATAGGAGTTTATTCTCTTACAGTTCGGGAGGCTAGAAGTACGAGTTCAAAGTGCCAGGCTCTAGGGGCTGGGTGAAGGCCCCTCAATCTTGGGCTTTAGCTCTGCCTCTTGCACCCAGCCCACTGAAGCTGGAGGCATCTCTTCACTCAGGCAGCTACTGGCTGCTGAGGGTAACAAGTCCAAGGTCGACAAAATAGCATAGTCCCAATGTTACCAAACCACACGGCAGGCCACTAATTCAAGTCCAGTGAAAGTCCCAGGGTTGGCAGAGCATGGCAGGCTGCTGAACAACAACACAGCTACGTGCAGGGTTCAAGCGTGCCATAAGTTACAGACCATTCCCAAAGCTGTTTCTTATATATAGGAAGCAGACCACGTCCCTAAAGCAGCTACTCAGCTGCTTGTGGTAGGTCCCACCATGGAGTTGATTGCCGGTCTCTTCATGGGGGGATAACTACCACCAGCTGCCCAGCCACTCAACCAGGCCCAGCCAAGTTGACATAAACTTAACCACCATAGATCCTCTTCCCAGAAAAATTACATGCACGTATACAGTTATACCTAGAGTTTCAGCAAGGAATCGACACAGCATGTCCATGGACCCTGGAGAAGCATGCCGGAAGTAGCCCTGTTGTGGATATTCAGAAGCTGTTTATTTACACTGACTGCCCCCACCCTGCAGTTTTGCCACATAGTTGTTTTTTTACTGCTATCCCATAGTCTTCTGCTTTGAACCAGAGGGCTGAACCACATTCTTTTTGGCTACGGCATTATCATGGTTAGTTCTGTAAGAAATAGAAAGCTGAGGAGACCCTGAGAGGGCCTGTGGAGTCTTACGGGCCCTAGACTCAAAGTTTGCTGTTTCATCCAAGTGTGGTTATGTAAATTTGTCATAGGCTTCAAGATAGCCAAGTCAGTAATTTGTCGGATATGATGAAAGGAGTCAGCTCTCAGTTTTCTTCTTATTTTACTTCATTCCTGGTGATCTGAATAAATAAGACTACCTTGTTTGCAACCCTCCCCCCCAAAAAAAAAAAATAAGACCCACACAGTAGGCTTTCAGAAAGGAACGGTGAGCCGCAAAGGTCCTCAGCACTTGAAGCAGCAAAGTGGGGCCTTTGGTTTCAAGTGTCCTTGCCTGGAGCACCTGGAGCAGTGTGTTCCTGCCACAGTCTGGGATTGACAAAAAAAAATAGTATTTAAATTAAAATGCAACAAGTCACCTTTTACAGATTGTTTATTGTGAGAGAAAGCTATTTAAAAAAAATTTCCTGAGTTATATTTCATTCGAACTGCATATTTATTTATTTATTTTGCTTGCTTAGGAGTATTGAAGAAAATTCTAAGAAGAAACAGCCACCTGAAGAAGATTCCAAAGAAACCCTCAAAACAAGTGAGGTAAGACGGTTTGATCGTTTCCAAGCTAAATAAAAACTCCCTCACATTCAGGACTTCTGAACTCCCAGAATTCCTCATTTTAGTGAGTGGTTAGGTATGTGCTTTATCTGGGTAATAATAACTTTTCTGTTTCTTGCATTGATAGTTACAAAATTTCCATTAACGATGATGTAGGGGGGAAAAGAGTCCCCTAAAATCCTTCCCCAATAACAGACCGTCTGTCTTACTTACACTCTTTACTTGTTCACATGTGTAGGTATTCCAGAGTGGATGTTAGCTAGGAAACAGATTTTAACATTCCATTTTAGTCATTTCATGTTTCCTTGGAAGCTTCTTAATTACTGTATTTTATGATTACATAGCGTTATATTGAATAGATATACCATGATTTATCAAAGTATTTATATATAGTTGAGAATTTAGGTTCTATCTAAGATTTTATCATCTTAAATAGTAATAATATGTACTGTGAATATGTTTCTTCCCTTTTTTGGATTATTTTCTTAGAATAAATTTTTTATTTTGCTGTGTTAGAATCCTTATTTATATGCCTTATTTATAATGCTATAGCTGACCTATCTTAACATTTCTGGGGAAGGTGGGCTAATAACTTAGTAATTATTTATTCATAGCTGGTAAAATGTCCTGAAACTTTATTCGCATGTAATCACTTAGAATTTATTGTAAAATTAGGTTGATACACAGTTCCCCTTAGTCTTTCTTTGAAGAATTTAAAATATTTAATAAGATCTTAGCACATCTTGGATCCTGTATTAGTGAAAGTATATTCATCTTCATGTTAAAATTTAAAGAGATGCAGCATGAGCCAACTCAGAAGCCCAGAAGTCTCTCTGAGGCTTCAGCCCATTACGTAAATAAGAATTAGAGCTAGACGTCAGTGAGGTACGGTGTGCATTTGAAACTTTGTTAGTAGAATGTCCTGCCCATAGCCTAAATAAATGAATGACTCAGGTTTCTTTTATTTCCTATTTTTTAGCATAAAATGTTTAAAGTATCCTCATTATCAAGTATTATGTTCTTAGACTGAAAAGAACATTGGCCTGTCATTCATTCAGCTTATATTTGTTAATAACCACTCAGTATTAAGTAGCCCTTGTAGAATAGTGGTTCAGTGCTTGGCTGCTAACTGAAAGGTCAGCAGTTTGAACCCACCAACAGCTCCACAGGAGAAAGAGACAGTGGTTTGCTTCATTAAAGATTCACAGCCTTGGGAAACCCTGTGGGGCAGTTCAGCTCTGTCTTGTAGGGTCACTATGACTCAGAACCAACTCCACAGTGACGGGTCTGTGTGTTTGTTTTTAACACCTACTACAGATTGTTTACAAGGATTAAGTGAAGTGTGAAATATGTGACCACCTGTTCGGTGCACATATTAAATGCAACCAAATGTTGAATTTGAATCTGAGAATGTATTTTGGTGTTTCTCGTATTTTAACTTTTATTTTCTTACAGCACTGTGAAAAAGAAAAGGTATCTTCCTCGAAGGAGCCGAAGCACGTACATGCAAAAAGCGAATCAAGCAAACCTGCCAGGAGACTCTCAGAGTGTGTGCACCCAGCTGATGAGAACAGAAGTGAGTGCAGAGCGGAGAGAGAGCACAAGAGACGGACATCAACCCCTGCTGCGGTGGAGGGCGCACAGGAGGAAGCTGACGTGAGAGATGGAAAAAGGCAGGCAGAACGCTCAGAAACGGGCACAGAAGAGCTACCGAGACAGAAGAGCACACTGAAGAGTGAAAGACATCTAAAGAAAGATGATTCTGAAGCACCACATTCAAAGAGTCTCCCTAAGAAAGAGGTGAGATCCTCCAAGGAGAAGCCTGAAAAGGAGAAAACTCTGTCGGAAGACAAATTGTCTATGAAACATAAATATAAAGGTGACAGTGTACATAAAACAGGCGATGAGGCTGACCTTCACTCTTCTGAGAAAGGTTTAAAGGCAGATGACAACATTCAAAAGCAAAATCAACAAGCAAAGCTTTCTTCAGATGATAAAGCTGACCGGAAGAGTAAACATAGGAATGAGAGGAAATTATCGATTTTGGGCAAAGATGGAAAGCCAGTTTCTGAATATCTTATAAAAACAGATGAGAATGTTCGTAAAGAAAACAATAAAAAAGAGAGACACCTGTCAGCTGAAAAGGCTAAAGCAGAGCACAGATCCAGAAGGTCAAGTGGTTCTAAAGTTCAGAAAGAGCCTCTGAGTTCCAGGCAACACGGCACCTCGTTACAAAGAAGAAGTGAAAGTTACTCAGAAGACAAGTGTGATGTGGACTCCACTCATTTCGATAGTCACTCAAAACCCGAAGAGGCTCACAAAGAAAAGCGAAGAACAAAGAGCTTGTTAGAAGAGAGACTTGTGCTAAAGTCCAAATCAAAAAGTCAAGGCAAACAGTTAAAGGGGATTGAAATAGAGTTACAAGAAAGTGTCACAAAACAGGCGACTACTCCTAAACCTGATAAGGAGAAGAACACCGAAGAAAGTGACTCTGATAAACAGCGGAAGTCTAAAACTGAGGACAAACCTTGTGAAGAAACTGGTGCCGAGCCTGTGTCAGAGAGTGCTTCTTCACACACTGCACAGAAAGACGTTAGTCATAGAACAAAGTTATCATTTGCAAAGGAGAAGTACAAGGGTGATAAAGATTCAAGCTCTTCCAGGCTTGAGAGAAAGTTATCTGATGGGCACAGAAGCAGAAGTTTAAAACACAGCAGTAGGGACGGGAAGAAGAAGGAAGAAAATAAATCAGATGACAAGGATGGTAAAGAAGTGGACAGTAACCATGAAAAGGCCAAAGGGAATAGTTTAGTGGAAAAGAAATTAAGTAGGAGGTTGTGTGAAAATCGAAGAGGAAGCCTATCTCAAGAAGTGACCAAAGGAGAAGAAAAATTAGCCACAAACATTTCGGGCACTTCCAGTGTTCCCTCCCTTCAGAGGCCAAAAAAAAGTGGCGACACCACAACGATCCCTGAACAAGAGCCAATGGAAATTGATTCTGAGCCAGCCACCGAAAATGTATCTGTAGCATCTAAAGCCCAAGACAGTAGCAATCATAGTTCTCAGCAAGACCTTGACTCTGGAAATGTAATGAAACAAAAACCTACTTCAGCCCTTCTAAAGGAGCCATTAAGAACTTCCATGGTAGATTCAAGAACAGCAGCCCCAGCCTACAAGTCAGGACGCGGAATGGTTGTGGGTTCTGAAAAGCATGCTGGTCACAAAGCCACCCTGACCAAGAAAACCCACATCCAAAGTACTGTTTCCAAACCAAATCCTGAGGAGAAAGAAGCCGTTCAACAAGGAGCTCATGAAATAATTATAGACTCTGAAACTAGTCATAGAATGTCCCCTGCTGCCCCATCAGAAAATGATAGCATACAGAAGAATTTGAAAAACACATCCAAACCCTCTGAAGAACATGTTGCTCAAGGAGATGCTGCTCTTGAACATTCCATAAACTTAGGCCCCTCACCACCCTTAAGCTCAGCAACTGTTGTGCCTCAGAAAGGGTCTCATGATTCAGATACAATCCCTTCAGCTGTCAAAAGAACTGTTTTAGAAGGTGGCACAGCTAGCACTTCACTTGCGGACCAATCTCCTGTCCCTCATCCAAGTTTGACTTTGGGGGACTCAGATGTCCCTAGGACAGGTGACAGCAAAGAAGGTAGTGAAGGTTCCACAGTAAATACACCAGCAAATGCAGGGATAGATAGCATAAGACACATTCCAGAAGGTTCTCAGACCCCTTTATTGCACAGTAAACAAGGAAAAGTCAGTAAGCCTCACAGTAGCAAGTTAACGGACATGGCTGTGGGGAATGAGAATGTTAACAAAGAAGTTGGCTTAAAGGACATGGCCAAGAAAGAAAATGATTTAATTTCAGAGCCCGGTTTAAAGCAGAACATGAGAGCTACAGTAGATAATGGCAAAAAGGATGGCATTGCCATTGATCATGTGGCAGGCATAAATACAGAAGAAGATGCTGAAAGTATTGAACTTACAGAAAGAGTAAGCATAAATAGAGGCCCGGGTGAAATGGAAAACCTATCCATTGATGGTGAAACAAGGAATGAAAACAGTGAAGTAGACACCAGTGCTGGAGGTGAAGATGCATCCTTTGTTGTACAACAAAGGGATAAAACAGCTAAGAATGTGACAGCTGGGTCTGGTAAAGCAGAAAAGACTTTTATTGCCACTAGTACTGAAGGGAAGGACAAAGCTGTTACCTTAAACTCAGTAAAGATGGGGGCTGCCACAATTACCTCTTCGGAAACAGGAGAGAGTGAGATAGCTTTGCCTTGCACAAGTATCGAGGCAGATGAAGGCCTCATAACGGGTGCCTGCTCCAGAAACAACCCTCTTCATGTCGGGGCAGATCCCAGCGAGAGCACTGTATTTGCTGCAGCCGAAGAAGGTGGGGGTGTTGTCACAGAGGGATTTGCTGAGAGTGAAACTTTTCTTACAAGCACCAAGGAAGGAGAAAGTGGAGAGTGTACCATGGCAGAATCTGAAGAAAGAGCAACAGGTCCAGTGACTGCCCATACAGGTAAAATTGAGGATAATGTGAATAGTGTTGGAACAGAAGAAAAAGATGATGCTGTAACCAGTGCTGGCTCTGAAGAAAAATGTGATGGATCTTCAAGTAGAGACTCAGAAATAGTTGAAGGAACCGTTACATTTATTAGTGAAGTTGAAAGTGATGGAGCAGTTACAAGTGCTGGAACAGAAATAAGAGAGGGATCCTTAAGCAGTGAAGAGGTAGATGAATTCCAGAAAATCAGGACAAGACTAGGCCCCAAAAAAGAAACTGAGGGTACTGTGACATGCACGGTAGCAGAAGGAAGAAGCGATAACTTTGTAATCTGCTCAGTAACTGGTGCAGGACCACAGGAGGAGCGCATGGTCACAGGTGCAAATGTGGTGCTGGTAGACATTGACAGACCACCGGGGACAAGTGCCAGCCAAGAAGGAGATGGTTCAGTGAATGACGGTACAGAAGGTGAAAGTGCAGTCACTAGCACGGGGATTACAGAAGAAGATGGAGAGGGGCCAGCAAGTTGCACAGGTTCAGAAGATAGTAGTGAAGGCTTTGCTGTAAGTTCTGAATCAGAAGAAAATGGAGAAAATGCAATGGACAGCACAGTAGCCAAAGAAGTCACTAATGCACCACTAGCCACCACTGCTGGTCCTTGTGATGATGAAGGCATCGTAACCAGCACAGGTGCAAAAGAGGAGGAGGATGAAGGTGAGGGTGTTGTAACTAGTACCGGAAGAGGAAATGAAATTGGACATTCTTCAGCTTGCACAGAAATAGAAGAAAATGAAGGGGCATTGATTTGCGAAAGTGCAGAAGGGGACAGTGCAATTGGTACTGCAGTGGAACATGTAGAAGCTGAAGCAGGAGCAGCCATCGTAAATGCAAATGAAAGTAATGTTGACAGCAGGAGTGGTACAGAGAAAGAGATTAAAGATACAGAGATCTGCTCAAGTGCTAAAGGGATTGTAGAAAGCAGTGTGACCAGTGCAGTTTCAGGAAAGGGTGAAGTGGCATCAGTTCCTGAAGGTTGTCAGAGTCCCATGACTAGTGTAGCTTCCGATCAAAGTGACAGACAGCTTGCCAGGAAAGAAAAAGTTGAAGATGCCACCATTTCCACTGGCATTGTGGGGGGTAGTTATGAAGTTCTTGTGTCTGGTGCAGTCCCAGAATGTGAAGTTGATCACACAACCGGTGAAAAAGAAGATGAGGGCATCATAACCTCTGTAGAAAATCAAGAGTGTGATGGTCTCATGGCTGCCACAGTCAGTGATGGTATTACCAACCAGAATAGTTTAGCTGGTGGTAAAAGTCAAGAAAAAGGCTTGATGATTTCCACCAGTACCACAAGTGATTATACCCCTCAGCTAAGCATGATTGTAAATGTGGAAAAAGGCCATTCCAGTGCTCTGAGAAGTGGGGATAATGTGGAAGATGCTAGAGTAAACATGGAAGAATTTGAGGCGCCCATGCCCAGTGCAGCTGCAGGAGGTGACAGCCAACCCACTGCTACTAGAAATGAAGAGAAAGATGAGTGTGCCATGATTTCCACAAGCATACAGGAAGAGTTTGAAGTGCCTATTTCCAGTGCAACAACCACCAAATCTGCTGAAAGCCAGCAGCTAGTTGCAGCAGTTGAGGAAAGAGACAAAGATCCAATTTCAGAAAGTACAGAGGACTTTGAGGCACCTATGCCCAGCGCACCCACGGAAGTTGAAAGTCCTCTTGCCTCCACCAGCAAGGATGAAAAAGATGAGTGCGCTCTCATTTCCACAAGCATAGCCGAAGAATGTGAGGCCTCTATTTCTGGTGTAGCTGTTGAAAGTGAAAACGTGCAGTCAGCTACAGTCCTGGAAGAGAAAGATGGAAGTGCTGTCATCTCAACCAGCTCAGTAGAGGACTGTGAGGGCCCTGTGTCCAGTGCAGCCCCCCAGGAGGAAATCCACCCCTGTGTCACGCCAGCAGAAGAGATCAGTGACACCACCATGATTTCCACAAGTACCTCCGAAGGGCGTGAAGCAATCATGGTCAGTGCCATCCCACGGGATGAGGATCAGCCCACGACTGCACGAGTGGAGGACCCGAGTGACGCAGCCATCATCTCCACCAGCACAGCCGAATGTGCGCTGATCATCGCCGGCCTGGACCAGTGTAAAGAGAATCAGCTCCCTGCCAGCATCCCCAAAGGAAATGATGACCTGCCAGCATTGTCAGCTGCAAAGGTGAGCAAGCGTGCTGTCCCTGCACCCAGCCTAATTGCTGAGAATAACCGTCAGTGTCCCAGGCCTCTTGCAGGAGGAAAAGAAGTGGGCCCTGTGATGGCTGGAAGCATCGAGAAAGAGCGTGAGCATACATCCATCAGTGTGCACTCTGCAGGGAGCAGCCAGCCGAGCACTGCGAACGCGGGAGAGAAAGATGGACGTGGCAAGGACTGTTCCGGCAAGGTTCTGTTTGCAGAAAGGGGACAATGTGAGAATGCTTTGAGCCTTGTAAACACAGGAGGGGAGAGTATACTGTTGAGCTCTGTTCAGAAAGGAAATAAGAGCCATGAGGCCAGGACAGCAAGGGGTAGCACCACAGCCAGCTGGTCGGCCAGAAGGGACTTGGAGAGGAGTGCTCACTCACTCCTCAGTCTGCAAGGACCAGAAGAAGCATCTGGGCAGACAGCTGAGGACTCCTCTGTCAGTGTTCGGTGTTTGGCAGCAGTAGATACCGGTGCTAAAGAAGCTGGCCTGCTAGGTGGGCAGGATGCTGCAGCAGGCCATTGCTCTGCTCCCACTGACCAGCGGAGGCCTGAGGACCACTTGAAAACCACGTCCACTGAATGTATCAATGGCCAAGAGTCAGAAGTGACTCCTTCCAACGTGACGGTTCTTCCAGCTGCCAGTGACATAGCGCAGTCGGCTCCAAACTGTGAGCAGGACTTGACGGTGAAGAGCGGGCCTGGGCACAAATGGACTGCTGAAGCTTCCACTGGGAAAGCGGGAGATGGACATGGTGTGACACAGTCCTTGCAGGGGGAAGGAGACCTGTTCCCAGTCACTGTTTCTCCTGAAGGGAATGTGTGTGCAACAGGTGAGAATCTATTTCTAACAGTAAATTTTAAAGTTTTCTGAAGTTCCATGCAGAAGATACATAGAGTGCATATATGACAGTTTCCCAAAAGATGGTTTGTTTTCAGAATGGTGTCAGTAGAAATAATTTTCTTGTATCATAATATCCTGAAGTTACTCATTAAGTTGAAGGTCAAGGTGTTCTACAGTAGATTCATTTATAAAAGCTTAAAACCAGAGACCCATTTCTCAGGCACAGGAAGAGAAGAGGTAGGAGCTGTGGGATGGGAAAGGTCCACTGGGCAAGCTGCTAACCCTCTCGGGCCCTCTGGTTTCTTAGCGAAATGAGGGATACCTTAGGACACCTCTCAGAATTAATTTTTATCACCCTCCTTTCACAAAGACGAAATTGGTTCAGACAATTTAAGTAACTTGCCTGGCACTTGGCTGCCTATTAGAAGCGAACATCTGCACCTCAGTTTTCTGTTTTATAAAATGGGGAGACTAGAAAGAAACAAACACCCACCCAACCCTAGTCTGATGTGACAGACTGGCAGGATGCATCAGTTAAGTCTGCTAGGCTACTTCTCAGCGAGAGAGCAGATTAATTTTGTTTAAGCTTATTATTCAGGTAAAAGGAATTTGTTGGAAAGAGAAAAGAAACTGGTTGACTCCTGACAGACTTCAGAGAGTTCTGGTCTTATTAGGAATAGGTGTAACCATTGGAGCTCTGTTCTTTGAGCTTGGTCGTTCATTAGCCCAACCAACCTCAGATGCCTTGTGCTGAGTACTGTGCTGGGCCTTGGGGAGTGAAGGGTAACCTGCCATTAACAAGAAGGTGGCTGTGAATCCAGCCATGTGTTATGAGTGGGCAGTGACCCTGTAGTACGAAGAGTGCTTAGAAGGGGTGAAATACAGGATGCTGTGTGGACTTAGGGGCGAACAGTGGCTGGACCTGAGGGAGCAGAGGACTTGATCTCTGTTCCACTTTGACTTGATAAATGGTGGCTTCCTGGATTTTTAAGCTGGAACAGACCTTAGAGTCCATCTAGTCCAGCCCCAGGAAGCTGAGGCCAGTAGGTTTAGTCCTGTTTATTGTAGGGACACCCTGGGTGATTCAAACGGTGAAACTCTCAGCTGCTAACTGAAAGGTTGGCCAAGTTCACCCAGAAGCACCTTGGAAGGAAGGTCTGACAATCTATTTCCAAGACCTCAGCTGTTGAAAACCCTTTGGAGCACAGTTTACTCTGGCACGCACCCGGTCACCGTGAATCCAATCCACGGTAGCTCCTTCGGGTTAGGAACTCAGCTAGGAAATGTTCTAAAGGTTGGAGTAACTTTAAAGCTTGCTGTTGAATTCAGCCTAGGGTGAATCGAATGTTCTGGAAGTTTTTAATGACTCAGTCACTGCTGCAAGCTATTCCCCTCCCCGTTTTTAAAAAAAAAAAAAAACTGTAAAGGAGCAAAGCATGCTAAGAGATTGGCTGTTAGCAAGGAAAAGGCTGCAGGTTAGAGGCAGGGTTTACTTGGGAAGCCCGTGCATGGGCAGGTAAGGGAAACTGGAGAAGCAACAAGCAGGAGAAGGGAGAAAACAAAGGAAGAGACAGGACCAGGGTGGAACTGAGACTCCAGTAGGGACAATTGCATTTCATGGTGTCTGCCTCTCAGTTGTTTAACTGTGTTTTCAAATGTGCCGTGTCAGTGTGATCTTGATTGAGAATAGACCTTGGTGACCCGGCCTTTTTGCTTTTAGGGAAAATGAGCTATCTCGCCAAGTAATATTTTATCATTCTTTCTGGCTAGCCATCTTTCTGTGTAAGCATGACATGATTTTGCCCCCAGAAAGTGAGAAAGTGGCCCCTGCCCCTTGGCCATATACATAGCACATATGCCTTTTTACTCGTTTCTCCTGACAGCAAAATAAAACAGCAGAGAAAAGGGTCGGGCATGCCTGATACCAGCATCCCAGGGCCTTTGATTTAGAGTGTACTTTGCAAGTGAAGAAGTGAAGTCGTAAATTGCATTAATGGTTTGAATTTCACTAGGCAATGAAGAGTCTCCACTGCAGGTTTTGGGAGGATTGGAGCTGAAAGCCAGCTTGAAAACTGAGGTATGGCTGACGAGTGGGTTATGCTGAACTGTAAATGGCATACATACCATTTTACCATATACACATATGTGTACTTAAGTAATACATAGCTCTTGTTCTCACTGTACTTAAGACACTTAAGATTTGTCACATCATGGCAAGGGGTAGCCAAGAACCTCAATAATACAGTAAATAAGACTGTCATCTGTTCCATTTCCCTAAGACTTCACCCTCAGTTCTTCTCTGTCACCCTACATTTAATTTATCACCAATTCCCGTAGGTCCATTTCCAACACAGAACTTGAACCCATCTCTTACTCCATTTCTACAGCAATGACCCTATCAAAGCCACTACTTCAGTACCTTCCCCACGGGACTTTGGCTTCCACTCAACTCCTTCCTCCAGTCTCTGATTCACACAGCAGTGAGAGAAATCTTTAAACACAAATTAGGTCAAGGCATTGCTCTGCTGACAGTTCCCAGTAGCTTCCCGTTGTACTTAGAGTGAAATCTAGACCTTTTTCCCTTGGCGTCTATGCCTCATACAGTGCAGCGTCCATGCCCCCTTTCCAGCCTCGACCGTGGCACCCTCAGAGTATACATGACAACTCAGCGGTAGACTTGGGTGTAGCCAGTGTGGAGGAGGCACAGCTTACCCAGAAGGGGCAATGATGGCAAACGAGAAGGCTTGTTGAGGAGGACACTTGAGTTGAATTTTCAGAGCCGAAGAGGAGTTTACCAGAGGAGGAAGGAAAACAAGGGACCTTCCCGGCAGAGGGAGCAGCGTCTTCTAGGCACAGACAGTTGAGGGCCCGTGGTGTGGCCTAGGCGCTGCAGTGTACACTGTGAGGAGATTTATCCCTCAGGGGAGGGGGACTCGCAAGGGAGGGGCACCCAGTTATGAAGGACCTTGTACTGTGAAGCTAGGCTGAGTTTTACTTTAAAACCAGTAAGAGAGCCATTGATGGATGGAAGAGGAGGTGAGATTGACTTTTCCTTTTGTTTGTTTGTAAAGGCCAGCTTGCATTCATTTTTAAATTTTGCACAGGCTTAAAAGTATACTTTCATATTCTTACAAGATGCTGATTGCATGTTTTTGTTTAGTTTATTTAAGGTCAGTCTTGCCTTCCTGTTGTGAAAACCTCGGTTATTTACCTTTCTGGTACTTTGGCCTTTTTAGACACTTGTGCCTTCAGAGGAGGAGAAAACTGAACTTCTGGTCCCACCAGGAAGTCCCTGCGTGGAAAAGCCAAGTGGAATAGGTGAGCTCCTTTCAGCAGTTGATCAGATTGTTTCATTTTTTCTTTCATGTGACTTACCTTTCATTGCAGCTTAACTGGAGATTCCAGGGCAGAATTCTCACCTTCCACACGGGAGACCCAGGTTGGATTGCTAGGTGGTGCATCTCGTGTATAGCCACCAGTCATCTGTCATTGAAGGCTT